GAAGCTTTGTCCTTACAGAGGATTCAGGAGAGATATTGTGTCTGTGATTGGGAACTGTGCGTACAGAAGGAAAAAGGTACAAGATGAGATCAGGGAGAAAGATGGGTTGTTCTTGATGCTGCAGCAGTGCGTGACAGACGATGATAACCCGTTCTTGAGAGAATGGGGCTTGTGGTGTGTGAGAAATTTGTTGGAAGGGAACCAAGAGAACCAAGAAGTGGTAGCTGAGTTGGAGATGCAAGGCTCTGTGGATGTGCCTCAGCTCCGTGAAATTGGTCTCAAAGTTGAAATTGATCCAAAAACAAATAGGCCAAAGCTTGTCAATGACACCTGAAACTTCAATTGCATGGATTATATGCAGAGTGCATTTAAGTTATGTGATATTTCTGTTTGGATACATCTTGTTCTAGTTAGAATTATAGATAGAATGAGTTTAGGTTTTAAGGACCTTTTGATTTTGGCAAACACAAGCATTCCCTTGTGCATTCATGTAACTCATCCCAATTCCCTTGAGAATAATGAAAATGAAATGGTTCTCTTTTCTGTTTCCATTGAAATAAATACAAAGAGTGGCCTTTGCGACCAACTTCGATAATTACCACCTTTGTTAATTTACACAATCAACACGCCAAGGTTTTATTACTGCCCCCAAAAGAATGTGAAAGTTAAATAATTTTAACAATCTTCAAATTCATAAAAAAATAAAAAAAAACTTTGTGATCAGATAGTGAGATTCTCCGGTATGAAGAGAAAGGATCCGACAATGTTTCCCCCAACATCAGGGAACTCCTCGCTCCTTGGAAGTGGCCGCACTTTGCCTCTCTGATCAACTTCCACCGGATATTTCATCAGATGTCCCCTCATCTCCGACACTTGTTCTGCCTTAAACTGTTTCCAGTTCTCCTCCCCCATTGTTCTCACCTTCCTTACACACTCTAGGCTCTCCGGCTCCGCAAAGCTATCATCTAGCGTTGCCATGTGTTCTGCCCAAAGTGACATTCTATATCCGTAGATCTGAAAATTTGACGAACAAAGTGTTTTCGGTATGGCTCGGATTATGAAATAATATTTTGGATTATCTCTGGATGCGATTATTACCTGACCGCGAGGACCAGATTGTCGTCTTGCCCATGTATGTTGAGGCTGATAAGCTCCCATTGCAATCTCTGTGTCTCTCGAGCCTTCCATTGATCTTTGGTTTATGTTTGCGGATCCAATTACCACATACTCGTCATCAACAACCATCCCTTTCGAATGAACATATATCATAAATCTTCTGCTCTTTCGACATGATGCCTATAACACCATTTCAGTCACAACTCATTATTCAATGATAATATAAACCGCAGTAGCAAGTCAAACAGCTGGTTTAGTTACCTGAGGAGTGTTATCGTTGCTTGGACTTCCTGTTCCCGATTCATTATTTCCGTCCACCGTTTCTCGGTTTCCAAGACAGAAGAAATTCAGATAGTCTTGTGGGGAGAATTCACTTTCGCGCCCGGCCTCCACTAATGCATTATAGATAGTCCCATACATCATTTGCATCGTCTTGTGCTACAAGGACCATAACTATGACATTCAGTTTCACAACCTCTAAATGCCCAGTAATGGAAGGAACATGATTTTTTTTTTAAGAGGCACAAGACCATAACTATGACATTACAATTTCACTAGCCTCTACTTAAATGATAATATTTGATTGAGCCAGTTTAAGGAGGATATTAGGGGAAAGATCATGATATCAATAATATCAAATGGACTAAGAGGGAGAAGGTTAATGGTTTGCAAAGATACATCTTCACTAGAGTTACCTGCCAATATAAAATCCTCTGTGTAGCTGGGCCGGTTGGAACTCCTTCTGGCCACATTGGAATGACAATATATGCAGCAAACCGTTCATTGGCCCTGATCTTCTCAGCAATCTTCAACGCAATTTCCATAGGAATCAGATTATTGGCACCTACATGACCATCACCAAAGAATAAACAACCGTAATCAAGATTATCATAATCATTGACTCATGTTGAGCAAAAATGCTGAAAATTATGCTCAACATTTATATACGAAAGACACTGCAACGTCAAAATCACAATCAATAAAGTAACCACAAACATGGCTAGTACATTTGAAAAATCACAATCAACAAAGTAAATCATTTGCTCATTTGAAAAAACAAAGGCGTAAACAAACCTATGTCCTTGTGAGCATTCCAGTCATAGGAGGATCCAATGAAGTACTGGTTCTCGATGTAGATGAAGTGTTGGGCTGCACGAATGGCCTTTACATATGCAGTGTGTATGCTCATGTCTATGAGCACGTTCTTACCGCATATCAAGTTCTGTCCAAACAAAACCCTTTTATCCATCAATTTCCTGGCCCACCAAATCATAATGATAGCACAAAATTTCCTTTGATTTATCAACTCACCTTGCTTGTAGCATATTTTGGATCCTTCGGGAAACCTTTCACAGAGTTTGAATCAATTGAACGGAAAATCTGAAACCAGAAACCAGACAACCATCAGCTTAGAAATCGGATCAATGGTTTCTAGGTTTCATCAAATCTTCAGTTTTTCTCCAAACACATTGCAAGTACAGAGAGTATGAAGAAACCTGTGCCAGTCTATATGTTGTTGAAAGATTCCCAAACACTAATTGGCGCAGATAATCAAAACAACAAACTACTTACACAAACACTCCCATTCAAACTAAAAGGGTTGGTTTCTGACCAATTATGAACATCATCAAAATTTTCTGTTTCCAAACCCCAATACAGGGATAAGGAGTGATTTGAATCTGTCATAATACCTATCAAATTTTATACTATATAGGAGTTTAGAGGTGCTTACCTGAACATGCCAAGCCTCAGGGCCGTTTGTATTAATAGTAGGAGCATCAAAGGCTCCTAATATATCTGGAATCCTGTCAATTTTGAGCAATGCATCATCATATGATGTCTTCAATTTATTGATTCTGTGAGGCTTTGCAGCCTTTAGCCACCTCTCCTCAAAATTAGTCAGCACATCGTATGCAGCTGGGCCATCAATCTTACTGTGCAAGTCATGCCAAGGTTCTCTTGGACAGCCGGAAACGTTACCCTAAATTACATTGTAGTAAATCCAAGTTAAGATTTTCTAATTCAGAACAAAAAAAAAAAGTAACTAAGAATTACTTGAGTAATCGCCAAGAATTAAAGTAGACAAACAAAGACTGAAGTATCATTTAAGAAAGTTCAAGGCTGTATTTTTTCCTACTGCCAAAGGTTATTCCTTGCTAAGATTACTTTAAGTATCTGCCACCAGAAATTACATTACACTTAGAAAGACAAGTGAACTAAAAGAAAACATACCGTGAAAGTGGGGTTGTGATAGTCACCTTTATGATCTGTTTGCAGCGTCCTAAACAACGGATGTTGAGGAGTATCATATCGGCCATCACAGAGATCAAGTCCGCCAACAAAAGCTATGATTTTCCTTCTGTTACCCCCAGCATCGGCATCTACTATCAAGGTTTTTTGGTGGTGTGTATAGATGGTTTCAACTTCCTGATGGATTAAAGTATAAGTAGAAGCCAGATACCTCAACTGAAAAACAAACAAATAAATTCATGTTTTACCCTTTGTTTGACCCAACTATGTCGCTTTCCAGCATTTCGAGGGCATAGCAAGACTTGTACTGAGGAGTGCTTGAAAAAACGGCGTGTCTCCTCGTCATGGGTTCCCATCACCCCATCCTGTTTAAATTAACAAATTGTATCAATACCTAATACTTACATGAATCACCAGAGATACACTAAACCATGCCATCTAAGATATATATCTCTAAATTGAGAAGTAGATTTCTGCATGAAGCAGGCTTTTCTTATTCTGAAGTTTAAACCCAATTGAGACTTTCTAGATTACAAGGAAAAGTAGGCTAACATTAAACTTGATAAGTTTTAAAGAAACCAAAGCCATTGACTTCTAAGTCTCTAAAGATGTGCTGATTTCGACCCTAGAGTGTAACTAACATATGCAATCACAACAGAAACGAGGAGGAAGGGACTTAAGATTCCGGTAACTTACTGTTTTGTATCCCAAGATGTCTCGTGAAGTTGGGTCGTCCCAAACCAAAAGCAGGACTCTCACACCTTCTTGGGACTTTGATCTTAAGAGCTCACCAAGTGTACATTGTGAAGCAGGATCTTCTTTATCCCGAGCAAGCCTGACATCATGCCACACTGACCAACCTGTAATATAAATCAAACACCTAGCCTGAACAATGGCATGAAACATATCATGCCAACACTTTCCATTTTCGTAATACATTCCATTGCCGAGTCGTATTCTCGGGAGCATCCCTTCAGGTACATGTGCATCTTGGTACAGTGTCACATTTCCACCTTCCCTAAGAGGAAAATATGTTCCAGGGACACCTTGGTAATTAGGACCTGCACCAACTCCGCTGTGATAAACACTGAGTTTATCCATTGAGGTGTATTGAATGGATAATGTCAGAGTTGCCCCTGGTTTACAAGGCTTTCCATTGCTGTTTAGAATCGAGTAAGTCCCTTCAATTCTTGCACCTGAGTAAATTTGTTCAACCGGGATTGTAACAATTCCTATAAGCTGTGAACCCACAACATCGCTATCCTTAACAAAAAAATGGACCTCGGCAGCATGATGAGCAACAGGAACGTAAAAATGCTGCTGCCAGACAGGATTTTCGTCGTTGCTCATGACATATGTTCTTCCTATCACTGCACCTGCAACTGATATGGAGACGTAAGGATCACTTGTGACCTTCTTGCTCAACTGCCCTTCGATCACATTGCCAATTCTTCCAAAGACAGCACCCAATGTTTTATGGAACATGTCCATGTTTGGGAGATTATTAGCACGAGAAATCCAAATATCCAAATTCCCATGCAACATGAGGACCCTCAAGGAGCCTTTCCCAAAGGGCACAATGTGCATACCCGGACTATGCGGGGATCCAGCAGAAGATGTATAACCATGAGTAGACGAATCTAGCCTGCCCGAGTGTGATACATGGGAATGAGTTGAAAAGGAGTCGTAAGGGCGTCCATGAGTAGACGAGTCTAGCCTGCCCGAGTGCGAATGAGTTGAAAAGGAGTTGTAAGGGTGTCCATGAGTAGACGAATCTAGCCTGGCCGAATGTGAATGAATTGAAAAAGAGTTGTAAGGGAGTTGTTGTCCCTGCCATGAGTTGGAAGATTGGGGAGATAAATATGGAGCCGAGGGGGATGGTGGCACAGTTGGCTGATTGGTAGAAACACTCAGATTGCCCATAAGCTCATCCAGAGGAGGGTAAAGAGATGGGGAAGAGGATCCACCACCACTGGTGAAATTCTCATGACTCATAGTACCTGCAGAAGTCACATTATCTTGCGATTGAGGTGGATAATGTTGATAGGTGCCAAAGCTATCTTGTGGTGGTTGATGAGGAGGATAAGGGTAAGGAGGAGGTTGGTGTTGGTGTTGGTAATCATAATAAGGAGACGGTGGTGGACGAGAGTGAGACATAGAAGAAGCATGGTGATGAAGCGGTGGGTAAGGGTGAGGTTGGGGAGGAGGAGGGTATGGATCAGAATTGGAATTGGAATTGGGAGGCCTATAAGGAGGGTATGGCTGAGAATTCCAATTCTCCATTTCAATCACACAACACAGAGACAGAGCTTATTCCTCCCTCCTAAGTAGTAAGTAAACCACAAGCCCTTGTTTCTTTCTCGGAAGCAAAATCTCATTTGAAAAACAAGCACTAGGGGATGGGGATCTTACAGGATTGCTATACTTTTAATCAGAGATACCAACCGAGGGATCACGGCGGGCTTACCTTGCCGGCGTTGAGAATGGTGGAATCGCCGACAAGGAAACAGTCTTTTTGTCCGCTTCTCACGAGATTTTGATTTCTTCCTGACTATTACATGTAAAAATGGTCAAGCGGTCAAATCAAAATGGATTACTCATAAACATTTTTTTTTTAAGACAAAATCCTACAAACCTATACATTTCCCCAAAACATAATTAATATACGCATCCTTTTATATATATAAATATTATTTACTTTTTTCCGTTTCTTTGAGTTATTATGTTTCAAATCAAGGAGAATTTATCACCATAAACACTTTCTCACAAAATATTTATCAAGA